CATTTATTAGGCAATTGAATCCTTCATTAAAGCTTCTAAGTTGTATTTTCAGCTATATAAATTGGTGACTCACAAGCTAACTGTAATGATTTAGTATCTATATTTTGTCTTTTATCAAAGTATAAACCGCTGTAGTTGCATGATCTATCTTGTTGAAGTTTGGTTTTAGGCTTTTTTGGGTTGTGGGGGTTTCGGGGAGCTTTTTCTGCTTAGCATGCTGCATCTTCAGGCTTTAGCTAAGGTTAGATAGGAGAGTAGGATCACAGCCTTGGGAGATCAGTAAGAACAGTTGCAATTAATTAGCAGTCTTCTAACTTTGAAGCATCCTAAAATGGATTGGATCTTTAATGTGTAAAATTCCCTTTGAAGAGATTTTTTCCCGAAGGTGTTTTCCATAGAAATCAATACTCTGAGTTCAGAAAGGTGCCTTCTCTCATTCAAAGCATGGTGAGCTGCTTTCTGAAGGTTAACTGATTCTGTGTCTTTCAAAGAAAAAAACAGTAGTTCACCAATCTGAAAATCTAAAAGTGAAAGATGAATGTCTGATTACATAAAAATAGTCTGAGAGATGGAAATTAAGACTCACAGACTTAAAAAAAAATAAAAAAAAAACAAAGAAAAAAGAGATCTGAGAAAGCATCTGTTTGACGATATTTTTAAGCTATCTGCAATCAAGTTGATAAAATGGGCAATGTCATTGCAAACAGAAGTAGTAAAATTAGTAGCTTTAATAGATACAGTATAAACAGGTTTGAAATCCCACCTTCACGTGAGAAAATACATTAACATTTAAGCAATATTTCCTTGTCAGCCAGAACAGAGCACTCAAAACTCATTGGCTCAGTAGATTATTCATTCTGACTGCCAGGAACTAAATGTTTTGTAACTTAAGTTAAAATATTTCTTCTATTAACATTTTTGCAACTTATTAATAATGAAATACAATATTCGAATATAGTGCAAACAAATCAAATTAAATGAAATACCCTCTGATTTGCCCAGCAACACAAACATGTGCAAACGCACGCAGCCTCCTCTGGTGTTGTCGCTTAGCAAGCATGCTCCTATATAATACATATCAGTCATACATTTCACTATAAAACCTGCAATATAAAATCACAAGCCTTTCCAAAGTGTCTAGGAATAAAAATCTTTATATATTAGCATGGAAAATAATTGATTTTTTTAGCAGTAATATGGACAAACACCTTAGATTTGCAAAATCAGAAGAACCACTATGTCAGCCAGGATTTTCAAAGTTATCTAGCATAGGTACCCATAGAATTGCCTCTGAAATCGTGTCTTCTACTCCCATTTCAATGACAAACTGCCTTTCTGCTGTTCTGTTATGGTTAAACTATCAGAGGTACAGATTCTAGTATAGTGTATCATGAGAAAACTCTGAACCTGTAGACTTGCTCTCCTATGTGGTGAAAAGCAGCCAGTCCTCCTGATATGTTGAAAAGTCGATATGCTGACTGTGTGGGTTCAGAGTAAGTTACCGTATGCTTGTTTGTGTGTTGTGTGCAAAGAATAGTTATTTATTGGATTTGCTGAACTTAGTAGTTCCCAGTTGCAAGCCTCAGACCTGTAATGTATGAATGAGTCTTTCAGCTGTGTTTGATCAGAAGTCCTCTGATGAAAGTGTAGAACAGCCCACATGAACTTCTAAATCCTAAGGATGGGCTAATGTTTAAATGCTTTTATAGGGGGTATGTATTCACTTTATGCACTGAGGTACTTACCTTTTTAAAGACTCTATTTTTCAACTTTTGTAAAGGATATTTTGGCCCATCCTTAGAAAGATGGGTTTGCTTTCCCTATCAAGTCAGGAAAAATAAACTCTACCAGTGCTAAATTTCAAATTTGCACTGAAATAAGGTAATTAATTTAGAATAACTATGCAGTTTGTTCCAATTACACTGAAAAATTACTCTCCTCAACAAAAATAATCTGAGAATTTCCCACAGCACAGTCCCAGGGTGCCAGTATAACTATTGTTTAAAACACAGCATCCATTCTGTATGTCAAGTGATTTGTGTTAGAAACCAGCCAAGCAGCAATACATATAGTTAATCAATTATCATCCATACTAGTTTATAATTAAAGAATATTAACTATCATGATGGATATGTCTTGTAGCAGAAATTTAATTATATTCCTCATGCCTGTAATTAGCTTGAGCATTTAGGTGGTATTGTTTTATGTTTATTACATGGGTGCCTTCACTTTTTTTTCAGAGGGTCCTTCTCGTGCCAAAATATTTATACTTTTCCAGTTCTTAATTTGCTGTTGAAAGAGGGAGAGACAGCTGTTCTTTTACCGTGTCCAAAAAAAGGCTTCAAATTATTTACATTCTTTTGCATCATTACATTATTTTGCATTACATTTCCATTGCTTTACAATCTCAGGTGTAAAGTCTTACAAGAAGCTGACTTTCTTAAAGATGTTTCTCAGGCCTTCAAATTACAAAAAAAGAAGACAAACATGTAGAGAGGGGCCAAAATGGCTTAAATTTTTAGAAAAAAATTCGAGGCACTTACTAGCAAATTTCATGCTACCATCTGAGCATTCAGAACTCCTACTGAAGGTATGCAGACATGCCTACACAGCATTTCACAGTGGGTTTCTGAACTGGACAAAAACCAAAGTAAACTTGCGAGGACATTCTTGCCAGATCTAATCTTTGTACAGTTGTAACTTACACAGTTATTATTCATGTTGTCAGAGGACTGAGTTTACATAATCCCTATGTCTCTTGTCTGTTCTGAAAGTATCAAAACTAAGTATCACCACATAGGTAAAACAAAAATACAGACTCTGAAATGGGTTTGTATGACAGATATGAGCTTTATCTCAAACTTGGATATAAATATAATCTAGAGGTGAATTTTGTTCAACATATGGATACAAAGCTCCTACCTGTACTCCCAGTAGTACTATACCAAAATTGTTTTCTCCTGTTACACTCTATGGTAGATAAACAGTAAAAAATCTAGTCTGCAAAGAGTCTTGATCGTTCTGTGTAAAAAAGAAAGTCTATCATACCATTTATCATACCGTAGCCCTCAACCATATAATGGCTTATTTCCAGGCTATTTTCCTCTTAAACTCATCCTTGGCCATCAGCCCACACTGAAATAATTCACTAAAATTTCCGTATACTGATAGCATGTTACCAGTGGTCGTCTTGTCACTGAATTCCCACACAAATTGTGTTAAATTAGGTCAAAAAAAGTAGCTCTAATGGAAGTATACCATCTCCCCAAGCCTGATCTGCACCCATCATCCAGGGTGCCACCAGCCCCACCACTAGTTGCATGGTCAAACTACTTGCATGCTCCAGCAGTGCGTGCTGCTTGATTTATATAGCAGTCCCTTCATGTCAGTGCATTAAATATACCTATGTATACTAACTACTATTCTGTAGCCATAAGAACAATCCTCATTTATTTCCTTTTAATTCCTCACCATGAGTTTTCCTTGGTTGCTCTCACCCACGTGCTTTATAAGTATATTAGAGGGATACGGCGTTTTGTAATAGGCTTGCAATGGCATTTTGTTATAGCCTTGCGGTGGTATAAGGGGCTTTTTCCATGTTAAGTAATTCCTGCTAAGTCATGAGTCTGCTGTGGTCTTCATTACCTTTGTATTGTGCTGCACAGGATCCATGCGTGTACCCGAACACCCTGCACCTCTGAAAGAAAAGAAAATGCCTGTCTGGAAAATGTCTAACATGCAATTATGAGGAGCAAGGAGGCACAAATGATATAGATTTAGCAAAATTGGGGTAGAAAAGCCAGTGGAAACTTCTTTGGCTGGAAAATCAGTGTGGCTATCTTCCTTCTAAAACAAACTCTGACTTATCAAACACTAATAACATTATGAGGAAAAACCTTAATCTAAAAAGAGACAGCTTTTCAATGAGATTGTGTGGTGAGCTTCCTATAGATGATTAGTCTAATCACTTAGCAGGTTTGGCTTATTAAATTAATAAATTGAAAAGTAATTTTTTAGCCATTACAATAAAGGTGGGAAAATCAGCCTTTACATTCCCAAAGTGTGAATCATTTGATACGAAATTTTCTTTTTCTTCAAAGAAGAACTGTGTTTTTCTTGTACAGGAAGTAATTTTTTAAAAAGCAAGACAGCATGAAATATTGGCAATGCATAGGATTAGCTTTATAAGACTATTTTTTAAGCTTTTAATTTCATTCTTATTGTTCTATACATAAGGGAGATTAGTGATCTGCTTCTCTCCAGCTACAATAACCAGTGATCAAAATGTTTGCATCTTTGTAATTTTTAGGGAGAAAATATCTTAGATTTGATGATGCTTCACACAGACCGATTGTAGGCTTTTTCCATTCTGATAATTTGTACATTCTTTTGATGTAAAAGATGTCAATTAAAAGCAAATATTTAAGGAAAAGAATAACAGTTGCAAAATATACATTCATGTAAATGTACATGCTTTGCTGCTGGAACTCGGTGATCTCTGTCTGTCTCCATATTTATGTGATTCTAAAAGCTCAGCTACTATAATTTTTCAGCTAAATTGAGTGCATGTTTTAGGCATATTGTAAAGCTATCCTTTGAGTCCACATTTCACATGGATTTCTAGCAATTTAATGCAATTTAATTAATACTGCAAATTATGGTTTGCCTGAAATAGATTTGCTGTTCAAATAGTCCCTTTGCAGCACAGTTAGGTTGTCAGAAGAAGGTAGGATTGGCTTCAATGCAATTTTTAGTTAATCAGTTATTTGTGTTATGTCAGTCATGCAGTAGTTACTCAAGATCTTCTCCTTTGCTGAAACACTGCTAGGCACTGCTAGTTTTTGAGAAGGTGGTGGATGGGACTACGGTTTCCAGCCGTAGCCAGAATTTATTGATGACACCCTTCAGTATCCTCTGATGAGCTGTTCTCTTTCTTTCTTTCCAGTGAATTATTCATTGCTTCATCTCTGTTTAAAATTTGATTTTTCTTTTGATCACAGGCAATGGACTGGGAATCCGAGTTGTAGGAGGGAAAGAAATTCCAGGAAGCAGTGGGGAAACTGGAGCTTACATTGCCAAGATCTTGCCTGGGGGCAATGCAGAGCAGACAGGGAAGCTGATAGAAGGTAAGATAAATACATTATCAAAAAATAAAATCTTGGGAGATTTGGGAATTTGGTAGAATTATTTATAATATGCTTTTCCTTTTGCGAAATAGGTGTAATCTTGTGTAAGGAGTGAGGGGCATCTGAGAGCCCCTCTAAACCTCCATCAGTCTTAAAGCAGAAAAGGACTGATAGAAGGTCATTTTATGACTTCTGTAGCCAAAGAGAATTTCCACGATGAGCAGTATTATGGCATGTCTTCAATAATATGTGCCAACATGCTGTCTGCACTGGGGGAAGCATAGTACGTCTAGAGTCCAACTGTATATCATGGGCGTATATCATCAACACATGGACGTGCTACTTTGAAGAACTTTAGCCTGGCCTGATCGTTAAGGTATCTATGTTTGGGATTACTGACATTTCTCAGTTGCACAGGTAAAATAGACCATAGATCCAGCTCTCTCTCAGTTACACGCACAAACTATTTTTGAAATTCCCTGAAGTCAGACTTGACTGTATTTATCTGAACTAACTTTAGTTTTGCAGTGTAAGGTAGTCATCCAACTTGCCTCAACAGGCAAGAGAGAAAAAGAAGCAGCTACAGAAGGGCAGTTATTTCATCTACCATAGACCTCAGTTTCAAGAACTGGGAGTGTCTTCCTCATTTAATTGGCTTTAAGAAGACTGCATTAGACTACATATCATCCCTTTGGTAACTAAAGCTAGGTGAAATGAATTCAACTTAGTTATCATTGAATTTTCTGGGATTATTACAAATGTGATAGTTCTATCTAATAACAGTTTATTTCTGTCCATAATCACATAAATGGTCCCTTCTCTCTATAACTACTTTCTAGTTAATTTTTTCATATGAATATCTGTATGCATTTGATATATAAGTTTATCCATGGACAAAACTACAATACATTTCTTTCTAATTCTTTCAACTAATTATTTTTATTTCATTAATGAAGGAAGATATCCAGGAAAAAAAAATAATGAAAGAAGAGAAGCAGGAAGAATAGATCTACCACACAGAATTCAATTTATAGGTTTTCTGAATAATAAATATGCAAGAAAAGTCATGATTAAATCAAAAGTACTTTGCACATAGAAAAGCTGAGTAAGTTGACTAAAGAGTGAGTTCACAAAGAATATTTTAAACATGTTGTGGGTATTGAAAAACAGTGTCACCGGCGTTCATGTTTTCCCTGCTGCTTTTTACATCCTTGGTGATTTCTGCCATTCATATTTAAAGGGATAGTTTCTCACTCATCAAGTGATAGAACAGTGTTATTTATTGCACATGCATGATAAAAGAATTGACCTTAATATAGTGTGTTTTGAAGTGAGTATTTGTTTTGGCTCCCTCCTTATGAAAATGTAGGTCTTTCATGGTTGTGCTAGATCCAACAAGTATTGTTTCAGTACCAAGCAGGTAAAGAGGAGAATGCGGTTATTCAACATTTCCTTGAGACCAGCCATTTCAAGAAAGAGGATTAACAGTTACTGCTTGGAGTTATCTTCGGTCTTTTGGTTTCTTTTGTCAGGAGCTTCTCTGGAAATTGAGATTTAAAGAAGTTCTTCACTCCCCATATAGGTATATTTTAGCAGTGATCAAGAATATCTTGGATTTGCACTACAAGAGAAGTTCACACATGGCGGTTTGCTTATCTGGCTGTTCATATAATGTATTATGAAGGTTTATTTATATTTTATAGAAAAATGAACAGGACAGTAAAATATTTATTCCTTTGTTTCATTCTCCTATCATATGATTAGTCATGTTTCTGGTCTGACTTTTATAAAATTGTCCTAGACAATGTTGGCATAAATTAACTCTATCAAAATCACTATACTTAATCTGTAGTTTGTCCACACAATGTTGCAGAATATTTTTTACTAGCGATGTGTTAAATGTTCTGTCAGAGAGGAAAAACGCATTCTGCAGAATGTACCATTACTAATAGCCTACAAGACAAACCCTTCCCCTTACTGTTCTTTACCTTTTAAATCTTGCCTTTATATCCAGTTTACTTTTTATGTTATTGTAGATGGCTGTCATAGATCACCAAAGAATATTTGACTACTTCACTACTAGTTTTGTTTGTTTCTTTTGGTGGTAATATGGCTGATGCACATTTAATCTCTGCCCTTCGTAAGTGCTAAAATCCACTGAGGTCTTCAATCGTGCTCATATTGATCTGTGTAAATTCAGCCCAACTACTAGAGTTACCAACATTGCTGATATAGTTGTGTCTGAAGATAGAGGCTGATCTTCATTTCTTTTTCAAGTTATTTGCTGTCTCTCACATCACATACAGAAAATGTCATTATCTGTAAATGATAGTTACATATTAGTAATCTGTATAGTAATCATGAGTCATTTTTTCTGCTGAAATGCGGTGTAACTTCGAGTGTATACCTAGTCATCAAGAAAACATATACTGATGTCATTACAAGCTAATATCTTGACTCATTAGCCTTCCTAAGCACATGATTCACTGTGAAAAATGCTGCAAACTATTAATTCCTCTAATTCTAAAAACAGAAAACACTGGGTCAAGTCTGAAAATCCTCTCAATAGCATAAGGAAAAGGATATATTTACTGTAGTTACGAAGGAAGCCAAAGTCCTACCTGCTGGTTACATGACTGCATCTATGAAGAAATGACACACTTTAAAATACAGATAGCATTCCTTTCCTTAGGGAATAGCAGTCCATAAAATTTTAGCCTATTTACATAGCTTTGGAGGAGTCTTAGTGCTGAAAACTATTTATATTTCTGACTGGCACATACCAGTCTTCTTGGTTGTCTCACCCTGAATTGCTTTCAGTTGTCAAAAATATCTCTTATTCATCACTCAATGACATTAGAAAAACTGGAGGTGAAAGACTCATTCCACTGAACTCATCAAGAGCAGGGACTGTGTCAATTTGATAGATGTGTCTGTGCTCCCTCTTGTGTAGACAGAAACAGTTCCGTTATATTCCACCTGGTAAACCTACTGGGTGAATGGCATTTCTGCCAGCATTTTTCAGAAATGGAAGAATCTTGGATAAAGAGCAGAAATAAAATAATAATGTGTGCTACCAAGTGTTACAAACTGTCTAGATGCCCTCAGTATTCAAGTTTTCTTGTTGGACCATTTCAACAGATGGACTGGAGAGCCTGGGAGCTGGTGAACCACGGGTGTCTTTGCTCCAGGTTTTCAACCAGCCAAGCATACTCTGTTGCAATGCTTAAGCCAGCTGCCATTCATCGAGCTGAAGAGATTCCCTGACTTTTCAGTCTCCTGGCCATTCTAAGGAACTTGCATAATTCTAAAAACTAATAATGAACTTGATTTGTGGTAACTTTACTGCCTTTGCTGACACTCCACTCAACAGCAACCATGATGCTGATGAGATTTTTGTTATTTTGTCTAAGGCTTTATCGTACATGTTTATTTTTAAAATGTATGCGTCATTTAAATAATATCTTCCCAAACTTGAAAATAGGAAAAACATATGTAGGGAAGACAAAAACTCTTCTTATTAAAAAGTGTACTGGCACACCTAGTTTCTATTTTATAGTTGTTGTGGTTTTGGTTAAAACGGAATTGATTCTGTTTTAGTGAATCTTCCTTACAGCAAAGTTCTGCTAAGTAACTGCGCTTCTCTGAAGTTGGCTGCATATTTTGCAGACAATGTCCACTCCAAAGCTGGTAACACCTAATGTTTATAGTTACACTGAGCTAACGGTAGGAAATGAATGTAGAAAAAGGCTCCTGTTTATAATTATTACTATAGCAGCCAAGATCACTGACAGATCTCTTAGGTCCCACAAGTGAGGAGTCAGAAGGGGTCGTAATTGCAGGGAAGGATGGACAGGACAGATGACCCGATCCTGACCGACGAGGTATTCCATGCCATGCACATCATACTCAGATTAAAGCTGGGGGATCACGAGGGTCTCGCTCTCTTCGTCCATGGCTGCCTTCCCAAGAGGGCCCTGCTCATTGTTCTGCCTGCGATCCTGATCCAGATTCTGACCTGTGCATCCCTGAGTCCAGTTCCAGTCTACTGCCGAGGCCAGTCTGGGACTGCCTGGTGCTGCCCGGCAGCTGTTGGTGGGACGCCAACACCCCGGCACCCAACTACGGGAAACTCAGTATCGGTTTTGTATATTTTACATTATTTCTCTTACTATTATTATTATTATTATTAGCGTTATTAATAAAACTTCTTATATTCAATTTGTAAGTCTCTCTCCCTTTTCTTCTTTTTCTCTTCCTCTGGTGGGAGGGTGGGGGTTAATAGAGAGCGTCTGTTACTCAGTTTATTGACGCCCTGTTTTAAGCCGTGACACCATCAAATGGGATAGCAGGATTGTGCCCTATATCACTGAAACATAAAGATTCTCTTTCTACAGGGGAAGAGACTATCACACAACTATCTCTGAAGTTTATCTCCTGAATATAATACACTACATCTCTTGTTGTTCATTCTAAAATGTACAAAGGTAAGAAATACTTAACATCTCTGCTAAAGTAGACTACCAGTCTCATTTATTCCAAAAGAACTACGTCCATTTACACCAACAGTGTTTCTAGACTGGAAACGTCACCGGTATAAGGGGAAATAGTTTGAAATTTCTCAGAGCAAGCAAGATAGGAATCTGACCACTGAATCTTTTTCTGAAAAAAAAAAAAAAATAAAGGCTTTTTTCTACATCTCTGAAATTCGTTTTTAAAAGTGTAAAGACTCCCCTGTTTAGAGTCAGTAACTAATATATTCTTAAAGCTGTTCTGAAAAACATATAACTGCCAGCAAAATGACACTCATAAAATAGATCCACAGCTTTCAAACTTTTCAGACATTCCTTAGGATTAAACATTTCTGTGTAGATTGCTTAATCTAGCAATGAATGTGTTTGTCTTAAAAACAACTGCAAATTATGAAAGTCAATCTATTTAGCAGCTAATGTACAGTATGTTCTCTTCATCTGACAGCATGCCTTTCGGCAGAAAACCAA